TTGTTTTTTACGAACAATTAAACACGTTTGTTTTTTCTTATTTTTCAGTGATGGGAACATCAGATCATTTGGGAATCCATCGGACGAGGGAGTGGGGAATGATGGGGAGGACGAGGGGACGAGGGAGTGAGGAATGGTGGGGAGGACGAGGGGACAGGGGTAACAGGCGATGGAGGGGAGAACGAGGGGACAGGGGAGTGTACAATAGTGAGGGAGGTCTGGGGAACAGGAGAAAGGCTACTGAGCCACAGCACCGCGTGGCCGGGTACAGCTAGTAAATACCAAAATAGACAACCAATAGACTGGGAGCCTGGCAGCACCACCAGGCCGGATCTTACCTGAAAATTAGCACTGGAGTCAAACATAAATTAACAATACCTGCTTATCTTCTTGAGGTTATCTTGAGATGATTTCGGGGCTTTTTTAGTGTCCCCGCGGCCCGGTCCTCGACCAGGCCTCCACCCCCAGGAAGCAGCCCGTGACAGCTGACTAACACCCAGGTACCTATTTTACTGCTAGGTAACAGGGGCATTCAGGGTGAAAGAAGCTTTGCCCATTTGTTTCTGCCTCGTGCGGGAATAGACCCCGCGCCACAGAATTATATAATTTATATATAAATTTATTATCCTGGAAGCACTGATTTCGGAAAAAAAATAATCATTGTGTGAAATGATCATTCAAATCTGCCTCAGTTCTTCAGTGAAGCGGATATAATGACAAAATTAGTGAAAAACTCAATATGTACATCACTGCTCTGGAGACATCGCTCTGTGAATATTAAATTAATTAGAATATAACCTTTCCTGCTGACTACAGAGGCTGAACCTTCATCGAAAACCGATATAAACTTGCATCTAAACATTTCTCAATATAGAAAATCGTACATAATAAATCGTTCTATAATACATTTTGAGATTATTTTGTATGAGTCAGACAAGGTGACTTATACAGCGTTGTATAACAACGTTGTATAAACCAGTTCATGTCACGGGATACTACACTAATGTATAGTGGGTGTATTCTCCTAGTTGTGCTCGCGGGGGTTGAGCTCCGGCTCTTTCCCCCCGCCTCTCAACTCTAAGTCAATCAGCTCATTTTTTTTCCTCACACACACATATACACACACACACACACACACACACACACACACACACACACACACACACACACACACACACACACACACACACACACACACACACACACACAGGAAGCAGCCCGCAACAGCTGTCTAACTCCCAGGTACCTATTTAATGCTAGGTAACAGGCGGATCAGGGTGAAAGAAACTCTGCCCATTTATTTCTGCCTCCACCTACAGTGTACTCTACACCTTCTCACACTTCCCAATCTTGCTACACTGTGTTCAGGATAACTATGTTAACTATCCTTATCCTGGAATAATAACGATTAAAACAGGTGTTTGAAACAATTAAACAACTTTTATATATATAATTCCAAATATAAGTTCGTATATTTTAATTATAAGGAAAAGATTAAATATATTTTATTTTTTTATTAATGTGAAACTTCTAATAAATTCAGTTGTGAAAATGTGTTATTAAAAACATGATAAAACAGAACAAAAGCCAACACTATCATAAATAATTTTAATATATAAAAATACTTAATACTTAAAAATAAATAAAGAGGACTTAATACTTAAAAATAAACAGGACTTAATACTTAAAAATAAATAAAGAGGACTTAATACTTAAAAATAAACAGGACTTAATACTTAAAAATAAACAGGACTTAATACTTAAAAATAAATAAACAGGACTTAATACTTAAAAATAAATAAAGAGGACTTAATACTTAAAAAATAAACAAGACTTAATACTTAAAAATAAACAGGACTTAATACTTAAAAATAAACAGGACTTAATACTTAAAAATAAACAGGACTTAATACTTAAAAATAAACAGGACTTAATACTTAAAAATAAATAAACAGGACTTAGATATAGACATTAAGATGTGAGTCCTGTTTACATCATATTCACAGACTTTGATAACGCAGTTAAGAGAGTGCCAAAGATTTCGTGTATTTCATTTTTTATTTACATTAACTACATAAATACATAATAGTGGTTTTTCATACTTTCAATAATGAAACCACAATTTTTTTATTCATAAATTTTTTCCTTTCATTTATCTGAAATTTTTCCATGTACTATTTATCACTATATTACAGTGAATTCTTGTATCAGTACTGTATTATCTTGGTGACTAACTGTGTCAAGGTTCTTCACAGTCGACCCGGCCTGGTGCCTTCCTCTCATAACTACATATTATTAAATAAAAAAGATAGCTTTTAATATTGGTATAGTTACATGGAGTTGGTTGCTTCATGGAAGTGTTTTAAAAAAATATATATATGCTAACAGTTTAAATTAAATTGGTGTAGGTTAGCTACATGTAGTTTAGATATTTCACATATCATGTCTCTTATATCTGAACTATTTCACAGAATTCACATATTTACTTGAAGGAGGAAGGGAATTATCAGCAGAAAGCGCCAAGCCAAGGGGGTCAGGATAAGGATTTGGGATGGGACGGGGGGAGGGGGGGGGGTGAAAGGAATGGTGCCCAACCACTTGGTGGACACTCGGGGATTGAACGCCGACCTGCATGAAGCGAGACCGTCGCTCGACCCTCCAGCCCAAGATGTTTACTTGAAGCGTCTTTTCACTGAAAATATGTTGGGGGAAAAGTTTGTTCTGCTTCAACTTGGGATCGACTCGCAAGATGTATTTCCATAATCTTTATTTGATGCCCAACGTTACAAGACTTCCTGGGAAACCATTTCTCCAGCCTAAGATATTACTCTGAGGAAAGAATATATATGTATACATATATCCTACGTCATATATTTCATGTATATTACCATTTATAATGTCTTAGCATGAATGAGGAGCCCTGTGCTGCTGGCCACAGGACAAGTTTAGAGAGGAGAGAGAGCTAGAGAGAACATCACAAGGCTCTCTCACTACTCTCCTCTTTCTCGTAAATCTCTCAATAGGAATGAGTTCAAAACTTTCTGGTGTCTTCCCTCTCCTGATAACTCTTTCCAGTAGCAACTATGGCAAGATAACACTTAATAAATGGCATGGAAGTTTTCGTGGGGAGGTTATCTTGAGGTTATCTTGAGATGATTTCGGGGCTTTAGTGTCCCCGCGGCCCGGTCCTCGACCAGGCCTCCACCCCCAGGAAGCAGCTCGTGACAGCTGACTAACACCCAGGTACCTATTTTACTGCTAGGTAACAGGGGCATAGAGTGAAAGGAACTCTGCCCATTGTTTCCCGCCGGCGCCTGGGATCGAACCCGGGACCACAGGATCACAAGCCCAGCGTGCTGTCCGCTCGGCCGACCGGCTCCCTGGACGGGGAGAGGGAATATTAAGAACAACTTTTCTATTCTCGACACTGTTAAAGAACCTTTAAATTCTCCTTATTCTTTTGTCTGTTATTTGGAATGTATCAAAGTGCTTCAGGTATTGACCTGTGTGTATAGGTCATTGACCTGTGTGTATAGGTCATTGACCTGTGTGTATAGGTCATTGACCTGTGTGTATAGGTCATTGACCTGTGTGTATAGGTCATTGACCTGTGTGTATAGGTCATTGACCTGTGTGTATAGGTCATTGACCTGTGTGTATAGGTCATTGACCTGTGTGTATAGGTCATAGACCTGTGTGTATAGGTCATTGACCTGTGTGTATAGATCATTGACCTGTGTGTATAGATCATTGACCTGTGTGTATAGGTCATTGACCTCTGTGTATAGGTCATTGACCTGTGTGTATAGGTCATTGACCTGTGTGTATAGGTCATTGACCTGTGTGTATATGTCATTGACCTGTGTGTATAGGTCATTGACCTGTGTGTATAGGTCATTGACCTGTGTGTTTAGGTCATTGACCTGTGTGTATAGATCATTGACCTGTGTGTATAGGTCATTGACCTGTGTGTATAGGTCATTGACCTGTGTGTATAGGTCATTGACCTGTGTGTATAGGTCATAGATCTCTTTGTATAGGTTATTGACCTCTTTGTATAACCTGACTAGATAACCTAGATAACTAGATAAAGATAATCTGATTCAACTGATACAACTAGTCAGATACTAGATAACCTGACTAGTTGTACTCGACTAGTTGTACTCGACTAGTTGCACTCACCTAGTTGTGCTTGAGGGGGTTGAGCTCTGGCTCTTTGGTCCCGCCTCTCAACTGTCAATCAACTGGCGTAAAGATTCCTGAGCCTACTGGGCTCTATCATATCTATACTTGAAACTGTGTATAGAGTCAGCCTCCACCACATCACTGCCTAATGCATTCCACCTGTTAACTACTCTGACACTGAAAAAAATTATTTCTAATGTCTCTGTGGCTCATGTGGGCACTCAGTTTCCACCTGTGTCCCCTTGTTCGTGTCCCACCCGTGCTGAAGAGTTTGTCTTTGTCCACCCTGTCAATTCCCATGAGAATTTTGTAGGTGGTTATCATGTCTCCCCTTACTCTTCTGTCTTCCAGGGATGTGAGGTTCAGCTCCCTTAGCCTTTCCTCGTAGCTCATACCTCTCAGTTCCGGGACGAGCCTGGTGGCATACCGCTGAATCTTCTCTAACTTTGTCTTGTGTTTAACTAGGTATGGACTCCAGGCTGGAGCTGCATATTCCAGGATTGGTCTAATGATGTGATGATGATGATATGATGAATCATCTGATAATGATTGATGTGTGTGTTGTGTATTGTGCTATAGTGACCACCCACATCATCAACACGAGATGAATGCGACCATACGAGTCATAAATACTCATACTCCGCCCAAGTAAAACAGAAACCAGCAACACTTAGTGGGCCAGCCAGAGGCTTAGGGCCCGCCCAGTGGGCCAGCCAGAGGCTTAGGGCCCGCCCAGTGGGCCAGCCAGAGGCTTAGGGCCCGCGCAGGAATATCCCAGCAACAAACCATTAACACGAGTGATGCTCTGTCCTCAGACGTGCCGGAGGCTGTGGCTCGCCTCGGCTCATCTCTCGTACCCAGCAGCATCAAGGAGGGAGATGATGTCTACTTTGAGTGTTCCATTCAAGCTAATCCTCGAGCCTACAAGGTCACCTGGCAGCACAATGTAAGTACTTGTACTCCAACACATAGTACTTGTACTCCAACACACAGTACCTGTACTCCAACACACAGTACTTGTACTCCAATACACAGTACCTGTACTCCAACACACAGTACCTGTACTCCAACACACAGTACTTGTACTCCAAGACACAGTACTTGTACTCCAACACACAGTACTTGTACTCCAACACAGAGTACCTGTACTCCAACACACAGTACCTGTACTCCAACACAGTACCTGTACTCCAACACACAGTACCTATACTCCAACACACAGTACCTGTACTCCAACACACAGTACCTGTACTCCAACACAGTACCTGTACTCCAACACACAGTACCTGTACTCCATCACACAGTACCTGTACTCCAACACACAGTACCTGTACTCCAACACACAGTACCTGTACTCCATCACACAGTACCTGTACTCCAACACACAGTACCTGTACTCCAACACACAGTACCTGTACTCCAGCACAGTACCTGTACTCCAACACACAGTACTTGTACTCCAACACACAGTGCCTATACTCCAACACACAGTACCTCTACTCCAACACACAGTACCTGTACTCCAACACAGTACCTGTACTCCAACACACAGTACCTGTACTCCATCACACAGTACCTGTACTCCAACACACAGTACCTGTACTCCAACACACAGTACCTGTACTCCATCACACAGTACCTGTACTCCAACACACAGTACCTGTACTCCAACACACAGTACCTGTACTCCAGCACAGTACCTGTACTCCAACACACAGTACTTGTACTCCAACACACAGTGCCTATACTCCAACACACAGTACTTGTACTCCAACACACAGTGCCTATACTCCAACACACAGTACCTGTACTCCAACACACAGTACCTGTACTCCAACACAGTACCTGTACTCCAACACACAGTACCTGTACTCCATCACACAGTACCTGTACTCCAACACACAGTACCTGTACTCCAACACACAGTACCTGTACTCCATCACACAGTACCTGTACTCCAACACACAGTACCTGTACTCCATCACACAGTACCTGTACTCCAACACAGTACCTGTACTCCAACACACAGTACCTATACTCCAACACACAGTACCTGTACTCCAACACACAGTACCTGTACTCCAACACAGTACCTGTACTCCAACACACAGTACCTGTACTCCATCACACAGTACCTGTACTCCAACACACAGTACCTGTACTCCAACACACAGTACCTGTACTCCATCACACAGTACCTGTACTCCAACACACAGTACCTGTACTCCAACACACAGTACCTGTACTCCAGCACAGTACCTGTACTCCAACACACAGTACTTGTACTCCAACACACAGTGCCTATACTCCAACACACAGTACTTGTACTCCAACACACAGTGCCTATACTCCAACACACAGTACTTGTACTCCAACACACAGTGCCTATACTCCAACACACAGTACCTCTACTCCAACACACAGTACCTGTACTCCAACACACAGTACCTATACTCCAACACACAGTACCTGTACTCCAACACACAGTACCTGTACTCCAACACACAGTACCTGTACTCCACCACACACAGTACTTGTACTCCAACACACAGTACTTGTACTCCAACACACAGTACCTGTACTCCAACACACACAGTACTTGTACTCCAACACACAGTACTTGTACTCCAACACACAGTACCTGTACTCCAACACACACATTACTTGTACTCCAACACACAGTGCCTATACTCCAACACACAGTACCTGTACTCCAACACACAGTACTTGTACTCCAACACACAGTACCTGTACTCCAACACACACAGTACTTGTACTCCAACACACAGTGCCTATACTCCAACAGACAGTACCTATACTCCAACACACAGTACTTGTACTCCAACACACAGTACATGTACTCCAACACACAGTACATGTACTCCAAAACACAGTACCTGTACTCCAACACACAGTACATGTACTCCAACACACAGTACATGTACTCCAACACACAGTACATGTACTCCAAAACACAGTACCTGTACTCCAACACACAGTACCTGTACTCCAACACACAGTACCTGTACTCCAACACACAGTACTTGTACTCCAACACACAGTACCTATACTCCAACACACAGTACTTGTACTCCAACACACAGTACCTGTACTCCAACACACAGTACTTGTACTCCAACACACAGTACCTATACTCCAACACACAGTACTTGTACTCCAACACACAGTACCTGTACTCCAACACACAGTGCCTGTACTCCAACACACAGTACCTGTACTCCAACACACAGTACCTGTACTCCAACACACAGTACCTGTACTCCAACACACAGTACCTGTACTCCAACACACAGTACCTATACTCCAACACACAGTACTTGTACTCCAACACACAGTACCATACTCCAACACACAGTACCTGTACTCCAACACACAGTACCTATACTCCAACACACAGTACCTGTACTCCAACACACAGTACCTGTACTCCAACACACAGTACCTGTACTCCAACACACACAGTACCTGTACTCCAACACACAGTACCTGTACTCCAACACACAGTACTTGTACTCCAGCACACAGTACTTGTACTCCAACACACAGTACTTGTACTCCAGCACACAGTACTTGTACTCCAACACAGTACCTGTACTCCAACACACAGTACTTGTACTCCAGCACACAGTACCTGTACTCCAACACACAGTACTTGTACTCCAACACAGTACCTATACTCCATCACACAGTACCTGTACTCCAGCACACAGTACTTGTACTCCAGCACACAGTAATCCATCCACCCATACAACCATTAGGACACAAGTCATCATAATTTCCTAATTGTACATTAGGATATACCATTAATTATCCATTGCCATTCGTGACAGCCAGTCGCAGATCCTCTTAACTGTCCACTAGTTAGCAGCTGTAATCACTGTGAGTGAACACTAAGCTTTGAACATGTTCAACCTTCACTCAACCTTGTGATCCGAGCTGTCAATCCTCTCTACTGTGGATTATATGTTACGTAAAGGAGGTAATTTCTGAAGTATTGGGTGTCTTGTCTTTTCATTAGACTAATGGCTCATAATACATTTTGTCTTTCCATTCATGAAGAGACTGTTGCGGCAACGTATTTCGGTACTTTACACTATGAGAAATCAGACCACAGCAGCCTTATACTTCTCCACAGACCAGACCACAGCACTAGGACCCGTCACCACACAGCCACAGACCAGACCACAACACCAGCACCCGTCACCACACCGCCACAGACCAACACAGCCACAGAGCAACACAGCCACAGAGCAACACAGCCACAGACCAAAACAGCCACAGACCAACACAGCACTAGGACCCGTCACCACAGACCAACACAGCACTAGGACCCGTCACCACAGACCAAAACAGCCACAGACCAACACAGCCACAGACCAACACACAGCCACAGACCAACACAGCCACAGACCAACACAGCCACAGACCAACACAGCCACAGACCAACACAGCCACAGACCAACACAGCCACAGACCAACACAGCCAGAGACCAATACAGCACTAGGACCCGTCACCACAGACCAACACCGCCACAGACCAGACCACAGCACCCGTCACCACACCGCCACAGACCAACACAGCCACAGACCAACACAGCCACAGACCAGGGTAGCTGACCACGCCTCTCCTCCCCCGACAGGGTAGACTGTTGCAGCCCAACATCACGGCTGGGGTCATCCTCAGCAACCAGAGCCTGGTCCTTCAGCGCGTCACCCGTCGCCACGGCGGCCGCTACACCTGCTCAGCCTCCAACATCGAGGGAGATGGCATCTCCAAACCCATCAATCTGGACATAAAATGTAAGTCCTTGCCACCTAGTTCGATTCCCCGATGCACCAGAGGCTTGGGGGCACCTTTCTTGCCTCCGGTACAAAGGTCAATAATCCCTACATTGTTAAACACAGTTATTTGATATGCCGAGGAAAATCTGCATTGTTGAAGATAACCAAACGTGATTGCAAGATAACCAAACGTGATTGCAAGATAACCAAACGTGATTGCAAGATAACCAAACGTGATTGCAAGTGATTGCAGGCTAAAGCATTGAAAAAAAGTATTGCATTAGTGAATGAATGAATTTCTACACTTAATAAATGGAAAAGCAATGAGTGTGGGTTTCTTGTGCCTCTAAGGTATCCGAAACTCTTCATTCTCCTCTAGCTTGCCTAGGCCTGACAGGTGTCAATGTTTTGACAGGTGTCAAAAGGGAGGGAGTCATTGGTAAGGGAGTCACTTGTCAATCACAGCACCACCGTGTCAATCACAGCACTATCTTGTCAATCACAGCACCACCTTGTCAATCACAGCACCACCGTGTCAATCACAGCACCACCGTGTCAATCACAGCACTATCTTGTCAATCACAGCACCACCTTGTCAATCACAGCACCACCGTGTCAATCACAGCATCACCGTGTCAATCACAGCACTATCTTGTCAATCACAGCACCACCTTGTCAATCACAGCACCACCTTGTCAATCACAGCACTATCTTGTCAATCACAGCACCACCTTGTCAATCACAGCACTATCTTGTCAATCACAGCACCACCTTGTCAATCACAGCACCACCGTGTCAATCACAGCACCACCGTGTCAATCACAGCACCACCTTGTCAATCACAGCACCACCGTGTCAATCACAGCACTACCTTGTCAATCACCGCACCACCTTGTCAATCACAGCACTATCTTGTCAATCACAGCACCACCTTGTCAATCACAGCACTATCTTGTCAATCACAGCACTATCTTGTCAATCACAGCACCACCTTGTCAATCACAGCACCACCTTGTCAATCACAGCACCACCTTGACAATCACAGCACCACCGTGTCAATCACAGCACTATCTTGTCAATCACAGCACCACCTTGACAATCACAGCACCACCGTGTCAATCACAGCACCATCTTGTCAATCACAGCACCACTGTGTCAATCACGGCACCACCGTGTCAATCACAGCACCATCGTGTCAATCACAGCACTATCTTGTCAATCACAGCACCACTGTGTCAATCACGGCACCACCGTGTCAATCACAGCACCACCGTGTCAATCACAGCACTATCTTGTCAATCACAGCACCACCGTGTCAATCACAGCACCACCTTGTCAATCACAGCACTATCTTGTCAATCACAGCACCATCTTGTCAATCACAGCACTATCTTGTCAATCACAGCACCACCGTGTCAATCACGGCACCACCGTGTCAATCACAGCACCACCGTGTCAATCACAGCACTATCTGGTCAATCACAGCACCACCGTGTCAATCACAGCACTATCTTGTCAATCACAGCACCACCGTGTCAATCACGGCACCACCGTGTCAATCACAGCACCACCTTGTCAATCACAGCACCACCTTGTCAATCACAGCACTATCTTGTCAATCACAGCACCACCTTGTCAATCACAGCACCACCGTGTCAATCACAGCACTATCTTGTCAATCACAGCACCACCGTGTCAATCACAGCACCACCGTGTCAATCACAGCACCACCTTGTCAATCACAGCACCACCTTGTCAATCACAGCACCACCTTGTCAATCACAGCACCACCTTGTCAATCACAGCACCACCGTGTCATTCACAGCACCACCGTGTCAATCACAGCACCACCTTGTCAATCACAGCACCACCGTGTCAATCACAGCACCACCGTGTCAATCACAGCACCACCGTGTCAATCACAGCACCACCTTGTCAATCACAGCACCACCGTGTCAATCACAGCACCACCGTGTCAATCACAGCACCACGTGTCAATCACAGCACCACCGTGTCAATCACAGCACCACCGTGTCAATCACAGCACCACCGTGTCAATCACAACACCACCTTGTCAATCACCATCTGAGGTAAGGGTTCCCTGCTGTACATGGCACAAATCTCGCAGTTGTGACGGCGTGGAACCGCCTACCCGCCGAAGCCATAAATTCAAATACAATATTGCAGATAAAAATCCAACGGAAGAAAATTATCTGGAAAAATGGGGGGGACCTTTGTCGAGCCGCCGGCTACTTGTCCCCGTCCAAGCCATTAGAGAAGAGGTGGTCCGCGGGTAAATTCAGGTAAATATTGGTATTTCGAACTATTTTTCAAAGTTATTTTAAACATTGATATTATCAAAATATCTTTCACTAATTACTGGTGCAATCAGGCCAGAGGTCATCCTCTAGTGACCCCTGACCTGACCCTTGATGCTGCCCTCAGAGGTCATCCTCTAGTGACCCCTGACCTGACCCTCGATGCTACCCTCAGAGGTCATCCTCAGGTGACCCTGACCTGACCCTTGATGCTGCCCTCAGAGGTCATCCTCTAGTGACCCTGACCTGACCCTTGATGCTGCCCTCAGAGGTCATCCTCTAGTGACCCCTGACCTGACCCTTGATGCTGCCCTCAGAGGTCATCCTCTAGTGACCCCTGACCTGACCCTCGATGCTACCCTCAAAGGTCATCCTCAGGTGACCCCTGACCTGACCCTCGATGCTGCCCTCAGAGGTCATCCTCTAGTGACCCCTGACCTGACCCTTGAAGCCATCCTCCCTACCGTGCGTGTCTCTGAGTGGGACTTGACTCAAGGTTCACCGCTCTCTCACCAGCTGGTGAATGTTTCATCTTGTTAGTTCTCCTCTCCGAGATTTTCGTGGAAGTGAAGACTCAGTTGGGAAATTATTTGGTGTTGTCTGGCCGGAAGTCCGTAGTCAGCGGACCTTGGAGTCCCTGAGTCAGTCCGGGCACAGTCCGGTCTGGAGTCCATATCCAGCACATCTTGGAGGACTTACCTATCAACAACTACGAAGTAAGGTCTAGCTCTGCATGCCTGGCTTACTACTTGTTGAATCTGGTGAGGTGTTACGCCTCATAATGCATCTATTCTGACGCTTCAAGTTGTTGTCGACTCTGGCATTAAAGTTGTGGAGGGAGGTGGCTTCCAGAACTGCTTCTCTCGGTCCTGTCCACTTGTTAACCACCCATACACAACACTAGTAGTTTCTAACATTTATTTGACTCATTTGTGTTTCCAGCTTCCACTTGTGTCAACTTCTCCCACTTTCTTTCAATTTATACGAAGCTGTCCTTGTTTACCTTATCAATTTCCCTCGGTATCTTGTATGTTGTGATCATATCTCTTATGTTTATTTTCTCCTTCAAGGCTGTAAGATTCTCTTCTCTTCTTCTAGGTCCATGGATTAACTTTCTTAGGTTAAGTTGGTTTAATGTTTCACAAGGTGCGGGTTCCACGCCCCTGCTGCATATTCCAGTATTGATCTAATAAAGACTGAATAGATTGGCTTGAATGAGTCCCGGTTTAAAGGTTTAAAAAAATAGTTTTAATGTTTACCAGCGTCACATATGCTGCCGATGTTATCCTGTTTATGTGTGCCTCTAGTGTTAGTGCTGGAATTATATCCACTCCCAAATAGGGATTGAATTCTAGTAACCATCTGTTAGTCCATTCTGGAAGTTTGTCAACGTCTGTCTGTACCTCCATTTAGCTCCCTCTGAATGGAGGTACAGACAGGTGCCTTCCGAACATTGGCATTTTCAGAATCACTCCTTCGGGGCAGGTTATTTAGGTACCTTAGGGACAGTGTTGGTCTCAGGACCGAGCCTTGAGGAACCCCACTTGATACACTCACCTAACTCGACATCTCTCTAGCTGTGGATCTTTGTTTTCCGCCCTGCAGGTAGTCTCTTGCCCAGCTGAGAATTTGCTTGGTTATGCCAGCGTGCTTCTCCGTCTTGGACACTATAGTCTTACGGGAGGAACAACATCACATCTTTTTTGACAATTTAAGAAAATATTGTCTCCCAAGGCTGCCTTTTGCTTACCGATTTTGGTGACCTTAATAATGACACAACTTTTCGCTATTGACACAATGATTCCGTGACATGGTTTAGCCTCTCCAGACGCTCACTTCTGGACTGAAACAGTTCACTTCAGTTATTCACTTTACACGGAACACTTCTCAATGACACTCGTCTGTAATTTGATGTTACTTATCTGTCCTCCATTTTTAATATTTGGGGGGGGGGGACGTTTTTCATATCTTGGGGGGATGTTTGTCTTTTGTCCATAATTCCGGATGAATTCCTGCCTGATGTGTTAGTGCAAATGTTAATTAATGGATGACAACGTACCTGTGAAGCCTCGTTGAACAGCAGCGGGGATATTGTTCATTCCTAATGAACGTGTTGCATCTTATTCACCAGACCACACACTAGAAGGTGAAGGGAAGACGACGTTTCGGTCCGTCCTGGACCATTCTCAAGTCGATGAATGGTCAATCAACTTGAGAATGGTCCAGGACGGACCGAAACGTCGTCGTCCCTTCACCTTCTAGTGTGTGGTCTGGTCAACATACTTCAGCCACGTTATTGTGACTCGTCGCCTGCACGTGTTGCCTCTTGTTCCTCTTGGTGCTGTATTCCCTCTTATACAGTTGCCATTATGTCATCCACCTTTTCTTCTGGCCATTCATCTTGCATGTCTGGTCCTCAGGTTGGCTCTTTTGTGAAGACCTCCTGAAATATTTTATTGAAATCCTCACACACATTTCTTCATCGTTTTCTGTGATTTTTCCCCCGCTTGTTTCTTGAACCTGAACACGTAGTCTCTTATGGTTAATTTTTCTCCTTTGTTTGGCTAAGCAATAGTTTTGGTTGGTCTTTAGCTCTTGTCGCAGTGTTGTTTAGTAGTTGCTTCTCATCTTCTCTTCTGACTCGGGGGCATTTATCGCTGCCACTCTTCAGTGTCTGTCTGTTGTCTTATCTTCCCAACT